AGTATGGTTAGTAAGTTTGCAGATAACACCAAAATTGGTGACACAGTGGACAGTGAAGAAGGTTATCTAAGAGTACAATGGCATCTTGATTAACTGGGCCGAGGAACGGCTGGAGTTTAATTTAGAAAAATGCAAGGTGTTTCATTTTGCTAAGACAAACCTGGGAAGGACGTACATAATTAATGATAGGGCCCTGGGGAGTGTTGTCAAACAGAGAGACCGAGGGATGCAGGTACATAGCTCCTTGAAAGTGGAGTCGCAGGTAGACAGGGCAGTGAAGGTGGCGTTTGGCACGCTTGCCTTCATCAGTCAGAGCATCGATTACAGGAGTTGGGATGTCGTATCACAGCTGTACAAGGCATTGGTAAGGCCACATTTGGAGTACTGTGTGCAGATCTGGTCACCCTGCTATAGGAAGGATGTTATTAAACTGGAAAGGTGACAAAAACATTTACAAGGATGTTAATGAGACTGGAGGGTTTGCATTTTAAGGAGAGGCTGGATTGGCTGGGACCTTTTCCCCTGGAGCTTTGGAGGCTAAGAAGTGACCTTACAGAGGTTTATAAAACCATGTGGGGCATGGATAGGGTGAATAGACAAGGTCTTTTCCCCAGGGTAGGGGAGTCCAAAACTCGAGGGGCATACTGGTTTAAGGTGAGAGGGGAAAGATTTAAACGGGACCTGAGGGGCAACTTTTTCCATACAGAGAGTGGTACATGCAGAATGAGCTGCCAGAGGAAGTGGTGGAGGCTAGTAGAATTACAGCATTTAAAAGGCATCTGGATGGGTACATGAATAGGAAGGGTTTAGAGGGATATGGGCCAAATGCTGGCAAATGGGGCTAGTTCAGTTTAGGAAACCTGATCAGCATAGACGAGTTGGGCCAAAGGGTCTGTTTCCGTGCTGTATGACTCCGTGAAACACACACAATAGAATACAAAAGTAGGGATAGAAGTGATGAAACAGTGACACCGGTGAGGCCATAACTGGTGTACTGTGTGCAGTTCTGGTCAGCACATTACAGGAAGGAAAGGATGTTTACCAGAAAGTTTCCACGACTGGAGAATTGTAGCTACAAGGAGAGATTGGGGTTGTTTTCCTTGGAACAGAGAAGGCTGTGGGGGGTGTGACATGATTGTGGTAGACAAAATTGAGAGGGGTACAGGTAGAGCAGACAGGAGGACCCGGTTTCCCTTGGCAGAAAATTCAAACTTCAAGGGTCATGGATTCACACTAAATAGCAGAAGGAGTAGAGGTGACGTGAGGAAAAACCTTTTTACATGGAGGGTGATGGGTGTCTGGAAATCACCGCCTGGGTTCATGGTGGAGGCAGAGACCCTAAAACCTTTTAAAAAAAGTACCTGGATCTGCACCTTAAGTGCTGACAGCTGCAGGGCGATCTGGGACAGCCTTGCTCCAAGACCTCAGTGAGACCTGCCTGAGCCTGTGGCTCCCAGTTCTCGTATTGAGGACATTAGGAAACACAGCCCTTTGGGTCTGCTCCTGCATTCAGTACGACTGACCTTGTTACCTCAAATCCACTTCCCCACTTATCCATCATTCAGTACGACTGACCCCGCCACCTCAAATCCACTTCCCCACTTATCCATCAATGCCTTGGTTGTCCAAAGATCTCTCAATCTTGGTCAATGTCTGAGCGCCCATAGTCCTCCTGGATTAGAGAATTCGACAGGCTCACCAGCCACCAAGTGAAGGGATATCTCCTCGCCTCAGTCCGAAACAGCTCAACATATGTCCTGAGACCGAGGTGTTCCAGTTCTAGACTCTCCAACCAGGGGGCAAATGGACTCAAGCATTTATCAGGTACTGTTAACCATTTTATACATTGCAGCAAGATCCTATTCTTCGCTAAATGTGGCCCGATTGGACAGAGACAGAGGCAGACAAGAGACACAGACACAGATCGGGCTGGGGGGAGTGGGTGGATGGAGAGAGAGATCAGTTAGCCTGCCTACCTGATCGCGGACATTCTTGTCAGGATCCACTGTCAATGGACAAAGCACCTGCAGGATTTTACAGGCGCAGTCGCTGACCGAATAGTAACTGTGTGTGGCAGCAAAGCCGAGGACACCAGCTGCCCTGGAGGGAGCAAACGGATCCTTTGTTGCACGGGAGAAGGCGGAGATGAGGATCCTGTGCCTGGTCTGAAAGAGGAGGGAACAATGGAATTACTGATGTGTGGCTGGACAGGTGGACCATGAAAAGGCTCATCTACTTGATAGGTCCCCTACGCGCACGTGTCCCAGAGGGGTCCCCTACACACACACACACACTTCCCGGAAGGATCCTGCCCACACACACACTTCCCGGAAGGATCCTCCCCACACACACACACAC